CATGGTAAGAGTACGTGCACGATTACCATACTTTTGTAGTTGCTCCCGATATCGACAGCAGATTGAGGAAATAGCAATGAGCGTTTGCTTCGACGAACTAGAACCAAATAAATAGCGGCACATCCTCTGGAGTCACGTGAAAAAACCTCAGCAACATGGATCTGTTTAAATTGGTACTTCTACGGTTCTAGAGATAAGCGGATGACACTCTTTAGACTCTTTAGAAGTGTGGACTCTTCATTCAAGGTACATTAGTCGTCTAATGTGGATTCTCACTCGGTACAACGTTTCGCTCCCTGTGCGTAAAATTAAACGGTGGATGACCGATTGGTCACGTGATCAGTGGAACGATTGCAAAACTCAAAATATGTCGTAATATTCATATTTGTCAAGGAATATTCGCTATTAGGAACCGTCATTTCTCAATCGTCACTATTTGTATTGCAAAGCGTTGTTTCATTTCGTTCCTTACTTCGCGTCAATTAATGCCAACGGGAGCGAATTCAAATCGTGGCTGCAGTCGTTTGTCGACCTTCCGACTTTAACGTAAATCATTGAATACTAGATATGTCTGAAACGATGGCAGGATGCGCTAAAGAATTTTTCTGGATCAAGAACGACGAGAGCCACGGGACAAAGAATTCTGTATCAAAATATTGCAGCGGCCTTCATTCAGCAGAGGATAGACAAAGGCTGATGATGAGATGAGTGGTGATGAAGTGATCATGATGATTGATTATTATGCTGATGATGACAATGACCATGATTACCAATATGACAATATTTTATGATTATGATGAAGGTTGTCGTGATTAAGAATATAATGAAAATGTTGATGACGATCATGAATATGATAATGATGCCAACGGTGAATATTATTATGATTATTATCATGTTCATACTGATCATCATGACCATGGTGGTGATGCCGACAATGAGTATTATTCTCTCTATTGATGACAATGACGATGACGATGAATATAACTATGATCATCATCTTGATGATAGTGATGATAATCGTAATATGTCTGAAATTCAATCACAGGGCTGAATACAGTTCCTGTTACAGCTGCTGGTCTGTCACAAACTTTCGTAAGGAAATACTCTTACCTAAAAGCAATGAAATTATTAGTGCAGAACATACTCCATTAAACAAGGACGCATATGATTATTTAATAATCTTCTCATTTTCATGAAGTTGAAATCTATGAAAAATCATAGAACTCCGTTGAAATTTCAAAGTCGTTAAAGAACAGCTTCTGTGTCCTTGTGTGCTCCTGATTTAACGTATTCAGTTTACCAAAGTGGACTTTCGCCTGCATGATGATTTGCAATCTCACTCTCTGTTCCACATGCGCTATGATGCCGGTCCACTGAATATAATCATTAAGGAAGTGCAGAGAATATTGCCATACACGTGGCTACAAATCTCTGTAGTACATTCTTGTCCCTTCAGTATTTCTTAAAGACGTTTTGCTTTGAAGCTAATAAATATTCATACTTCGGTTTCAACGAATCAGCAGAAATTTACTTATAATTTCCGTCCCATTTTATTCCCACGTTTTCAGTTTTTGAGTTAGTCAAACAATACTTAATAAAAGTATGGTATTTATTCTGCAAAACAAAATTAAAATGGCGATATGATGCTTCTTTTATAAACGCTCCTTTACAGTGGCTTATCTGAGTAGTTGACGGCGTGTATCAGATACGAGGTTGCGATTCAGATGTAACTTATGGAGACAGCATTTCCAGGCAGCCTAGGTGCAGAATTAAAGAACACCCATTCGCAATTCCTAACAATACAGGTACAGTATCCCACGCCATGGTTGAAGGAGGTAGATTAAGTTTTGGTAATCGACAGGGGATGGCCAATAATAATCGAATGGTTTCATGTTCTGACAGCGAATCCTTATCTGTGCAATGAATGCTCCTCATCGTTTGATGTAAGTCGATGTTGAGGTGCTGCTGATAACCTGAAATCACCACGCTTTCCGATTCGTTGATTATAATAGTGGGGACGTTAAAGTGCAAACTTACTTAAACGTTCGATGATTCGATCGACCTCTCATCGATTTCACCAGAGTGCAGTGATAAAAAAATATACGTAGGCGCAGATTCTGAAAAAATAAATCTATTATTTTCTCGAGATATTAAAGAGCGAATTAATTAAAATGTCATAGATATGTCATAAGAAAGTCTATAACCGCTTGCCACCGGATTTATGCAAGGATACTTTCATAATTAGCCTCATTTTATTATGATGGCTTTCAGTGTTTCTAATTTCGTTGTTGTCCACAACTGACAGTTATCCAGGCCATAAACTATTACGCAAGAGTGGTTATCCCAAATGGCTCTCTACTGCTAGCCACTTTCGCCTTTTAGACATCTGCATCTCAAACCGATATACATTATCCACAAATAACTTGATGGATGATATTTTTTGCATGCTTGGTTGAGCAACAATCAAACTTATTCCATAACAAACTGTTGATAATGTTGTCCCTGCAGATGATCACATTAATGTTGGAGATTTTTAACTTTAAAACGGCTATTTAAATGAGGCATTATGGCGTGAGGAACATTTATTCTGGGAATGGAACCAGCTTCAGAGATATTCACTACGCCGTGCAGTTTTCACATAGAAATTTATGACGGCCAGAGACAAGGAAATGTATTGAGACAGGTAATTT